TAGAGGAAAGCAAATTAAATTCAAATGTTAATTTAAAATATATTTAATATAATTTGTATCTAAGCAAAGTATTCCTAAAGTTCTTAACTACATTGCTGCACTTCATATCTAAAATATGTTTTCGGTTGCCCGTTCACCGCATTAACCCTATTTAACCCGAATTTAGTGGCTATAAGCCACAGATCGTAAACGCGACATAAAACCTCTCATAAAATTATCGCCGCTAGCAACTGCATAAAGATATTAACCTTTTTGCAAATAACCAAAAAAAACGTAAACAAAAAAGGCAAAAAAAAAAAATTCATGTACAGCATTCAAATTACCAGCAAGAAAAATATGATGAAAAAGAAGAAAAAATATATATCTGTCAAATTATATATTACAGTCATCGGGTGTTGCAAGTATCTCAAGTAGTTGCTGAAGGCAATTTGAAAATTGTGAGACTAGAAAAAACGTGTTTAAAAATTAATAAAAACGTTGTGGGCGGCTTGGAAGCCAAAGCAATCGCAGATGCAGTTGCACGGTGGCAAGAAATTAGAGGAAAGCGAGGAAAATTGTAAATCGAAAATATTGAAAAATTGGGCAGAACTAATTTAAGTTGGTATGAAGTAGAGCTGAGCTGTGAACGGTTATTGCAAAGTATTTTGCTTAACATTTGAAATTTTCCTTGTGGACCACAAGCCCATTGAACTAATTTTTAGGCATCTGCTGTTGGCCAGGCTTTGAAATGCCAGCAATTGAAGTACAAAGTGAAGCTATGCAATTACAAATGCCTTTCTGCAGCGCTCTCAACAGCTTTACAGCCACATTGCGCATACGCCACGTTGAACGTTTGGCAATTAGCCACCGCGAAGGCGGCGGCTGCTGCTGCTGCTGCTGCCGTTCTGCATGCTGCTTACTTGCTTTTGTAATCAGCTGAAATTTCGATTTAATTAGATTACCACACATACCCACAGCTAAACCGAGATGGTTTTCGACAAAGCACAAGCTGCATTCAAGCAACATTACAATTCTTTTTTTCTTTCATTTTAGTTTTTTGTGCACAACATTTGCCAAAGACAATAAAACCGCAGCTAACAATTGCAGCCGTCGCATTATCCCATCTCTTGAAAATTGCCTTGACTAAAATATTTTTGTGCATATTTCTTCTTTTTCATTATTTTATGTTGTTTCTAGCTAACCGCAGCAATTGTTATTATTATCATTATTATTACTTTTATTGTTGGCTCACATGCAATGAGGATGCGTCTGACCCGTAGCTCAATTACGCCAATCTCAGCAACAGCAACCAGCTAATGAAATCTCGCAAATCATTTCAATTAAAATCAAATTTGTAATACAACAAGAATCGAATGAAATGCTAACACCCTTCAGTGTCGACTATTGTATACACTATATTTAAGATCTTATGCTCATGTTATATATATTTCGAAAATAAGAGAAATAGAAAAATTAAGAAAAAATAAAGATCAGATATGCTTAAACAAATTTTCCATCTATATTTATATATCTTACTCAATGTATATTATTTAATAATTTGCAGCTTGTTAGCGTTCATGCTGTCCTACAAGAAAAGTTCTCTGCGCAATGTCTAGATGCTAATTTCGGGCAGGGTATTCAAATGCCTGAAATGCATTGGGCGCACAATTGGGCAATTGTTCACACTTCAATCGTCATCGGCCTTTGGGGCATAGTAGCTCTGACTGTGACTATGACTGCGACGTGGATGTGGCTGTGGCTGCGTGGCTGTATGGCAATAATCAGTCGTCTAATCAAAGCCAGCATTGACCTATGAGGCTTTGACGTTGCGCCTGGCTGGCTTGCATTGGAAAATTACACAGATTCCGGGCACATGCAGCAGCAATACCAACAGCAACAGCAGCAGCTGCTGCTGCTTATTGGGAATCTACCATGCAGCCTGCCCTGGCTTCATCAGCGAAATCATCAGCCAAATATCAAACGATGCATATTTTATGTCTGTCATTTGAAATTCAAAAGCGTGCCGAGCGGCGGATGCGTTTGACTGCCATCATTTTCGGGGTTTATGACAGGCGCTCTGTACTGCGCTTTTTCAGGTTTTTTTGGCGTGCGAAAATGAGCAGCTGAAAAGCGAAATATTAATATATGCGCCCAGTAGCGTTCAACCTGGGCTCTGGGTTTGCTTGAACATTGTTTTTGCCAGGGAGACAAACGAAATGAACATGTTCAACACGTTTGGCAGGCAGCTCTGGCTCTGGCTCTGGCATTGGCTCGGGCCTGAGTCTGGGTCTGTCTAGCGATTGTCTAGCTGCGACTTTTTGCCTTTTTGTTTCATGATCTGTTTTTGCCTGCCTGTTCGAGTGCTCCCCAAAGGTTGGGCTCTGACCCGCAGTGTCCCATGGGCAGGCATAGTCTACATTTGGGCGTGTCTAGCACGCTACAAAAAAAATCCAAAAAAATTATAAGAATAACTAAAAAATAAAGAAAAAACGCCAGCGAAAAGTCAAAAAGTTACAAGCGGCAAATTACACGCGTCTGGCAAGCGACTACCCCAGCCCGGGCCCCTTTTCTCTCAGCTGTCTGTGGTACCTTTGCCAGTTATCTGCTTGGCAGGCCAGGCATTAAAAAAACACCACCAGACATAGCCAGGCAGACAGAGTCGTCTGCATAGCATCCAAGTGTCGCACCAACAATTTAGCACGCCCTTTTTTCTCTCCATGTGCCACCTTTGCCTTTGCTTCATGTTGCAGTTAAGTCTGCTTTATTTGTTGCCTGCTTTACGGAGCCACACACACACACACACACACATAGCCAGCTATCCTTTTCAGAAGAGGTGCATGTGGCGGGTCTTTAATAGGAACAAGTGAAAGTTCGGGCGCTAGACTACAAGCGGCTATAAAAAGTAACTAAAGTGTGGATCCTTTATGTTAGTATATTATGTAACTAATATAAAACTATTTTTGAGTAAAATAAAATGTATACATTCTTTTTTAAATATAATTATATAACTTTAGTAATGAAAACTACATATTTGGATATTAATAATGTTTGTCAATTATGGTTTAAAACTATGCGTTTACTTAATTCATTTGGTAACTATTTCTTTGTAATATAGAAATTTTAATTAGGGTTAGCTAATGAAATATTTATAATTATATATTCATTTTTTAACATAAATGATGTTGGGAATATTAAAAATTCCAAACAAATTAAAATATTCCTCGTTTCGTTGATTTTTATTTTGGAAATTTTTTATAACATTTTTGATTTCAGATAACAGCTATAAATTGGTTAACAAGTTTGCGTAATTGGTATTTACCTCCTACTCGTAGGCCTTATTAAATGTTTATTTAAATAAAGACAAAAATAAGTAAAGTGTATTTTTTTTATTATTGTAATATTATTTTTGAACACTTTCTGTATTTTTCTTCACTTCTTCCTAAATGTTCACTTATCAATATTATCTATAGAACATTCTTTTTGCTTATTCCTTTAATTTTCTACTCAACAATTTCCACGCAGCCTGAGCATATATCAATTCTTTTTTGCACATCAGCTATAAGGACACTTAGTACGTGAATGGGCGTTTCTGTGTACCCCATTTATTTGCGGAAACCTCGTATGGGAATGCCAAGTGTTTAGCTGGCAGTTGTTGAAAATAATCAAATATTATTGCTGCTGATTTGGGCGTACTCGTATTTTAGGTAAAACCAACAGCTGCTGCCAGATGAGACAAAAACTGTTCCAAATCCCCCTAAAGTATGCTCGAGTACTGCATGTGTGTGTGTGGGTGTGCCTGTGTGAGTGTACTTCTGAGCCTTTCTGACATATATTACGCACAGCTCTTAAGTGTCTTTGATTATTTGCAATTTGTTCGATTTGGGACTTTCGCTTTGCCACTTCAGGCTGCCTGACAGCCAGTTCACTCGATATCGAAGTTATGTAATCGTTTTTGTTACCATTGACGCCAAGTGTTGCCAAATTGTGTGTGTGTGTGTGTGTCTGCGTGTGCGTGTGTGTGTTTGCCAGGCACTCGACTAGTTTCGGTAGTTGGGCAAACAGCTTGGCTTTGCTCTGCGCTTCTCGTTTTTATTTGTTTTTCCTGCTACAGATTTAAATTATGAGCAGCTAACAAAGTTTGAGCATGCAATCAAAAGCAAATCCACCTCACATATGTATCAGTGGCAGACCGCATGATAAAAACTGAGCTAAGCTCAGTGATGGCCCCACCGCCTCTAAAGAAAAATGACAACGGACAGCAGAGTTCACCGAATGCGTCCATCAGACCCCATACAAATGGTTGAGGCCAGCACGTGTGTGTCCGGGCAACACATCCTTATAAACAAATTTGACATATAACAAGCTTAACTTGTTGTCCTCTGTGCGGGCTATTGTTCCAGTGTTCAGCATTTGTTCATGTGCTGGATGCTTGAAAAAGCTCAAATGATTTGTTTGCTGCTGATTTATGTAGGCTTAGGATTTGTGTACCGAAAAATCAGAGTTTAGACTGCGTAACAAAACAAACTACAGCTGAAGCGCTTACACAAAATCAGTTATAGAAAACTGCAGTGTAACCAAAAATACTTTATGATTATATATGTGGAATATATTAGAAAATACCATTATTACATATATATTATATTTATTTTCATCAGTATATATCATAGTAATATTTTTTATAGCTCAAAACTTTTTTTATTTTGATCAAATGTTTCATCTCGAATAATGCTGCTTTAAATAATTTTATAATTTTAAATAGCATAAATAAATGAAATGGAATTTTTTTTTTTGTATTTTAAAGCTATTTTGTTGAACTATTTAATATATAACATTTAGTTAATAATTATTTTTATTAATGTTTTCACTTTGTATTAAATGTTGTACACTTTTATATTATTATATTAATATTATTATTTTTAAGTAATTTAATTCAAAAAAAGGATTATTTTTAATCATTTAGTTTTTTTTTTTTAATTTTTTTTGTAGTTTTATAAAATAACAAATAAAACAAATATACTTACAAGCAACACAAACGATTTGAAGGACATCATTTTGAATAAATTTGAATTTAGATGGCGAGGCTTCACTTGGAATTAATGTTAAGTGTAATCCGGGCTAAATTAATAGTAAATAAAATTTATGAAATTAAACAGAAACCAAAGCTAAAAACTAAAGTAAACAAGTGCCTTGATTTGAACTCTTTAAGATTCACTTTCAATTTGAAAGATATTCAATAATATTTAGTCGATCGTTTTTGAGTAGTATATTGTTTGGCACACGTTTTCAACACACAAAACACTTCAAATGTCCTTTTGCAGCACTTGTAATTGAAATTGAACGACTCTCACTTTCAACTGGGCCAATAGCTAAAGCTTGGCTATTGTTATGCAATTGTTGTTGCTTTTTTCTATGCCAAGCAGCACAAGTACCGCACAAAGTACACGAACGTTTTGAATTAGGGTAGACAATGGAGATGCGCTTGCTTTTTATAATCAACGCGCAGTCGCAGCCGCCAGCAGCGGCAGTGACGGAGACTGAGGCAGCGCGTCGGCAGCGACACCGCGTTGCCAACTGCACCCAAAAAATAAAGCTATGAAACAAATGTTGTTCAGATACAACAATTGAGGCAGGTTCAAAGCGCTGAACTTCTAGATCATCTTCGCAGAGGCAACAATCTCATCTCGCGCTCTCTGGCTCGCGCTCACGTTTTGAAAATGAGCGTGGGGAGCATGTTGCTCTTTGCCGCTCAGCGCGGAGAGCAGATGCTGAGTGTTGAAGTGAAAAATGTTGCAGATCATCGACAGCAGCAACAGCAACGACCATTGCTGTTGTTGCTGCTGATGATGATGATGATAGTTGATGATAAATGAATAGACGATGATCATTCGAACAAGTTGTAGCTTGGCGGATGTATAACAAGTTGCTTGAATTTTGTATTTTATTAAATGTTGCTGCCAGTCGGAGGAATTAGAGACTGCCTGAGGCAGCGTTTTGTAGAAACGCCCGCAATGACTTCATTAAATGCACAAAATTTGATATTTAAGTTTTTATGACTGGCTTTCAAGTTCTGGCCCTGCAGCTGAGACTCAGGCCGAGATTGCAGTTGAAGCTGGAGCTAGAGCTGGAGTTGGAAGTGGGATGCGCCTCCTCCATGAAAATGTCACTGCGAATGTCAGATGAACGCTTGGGCGATAGTTTTGCTGTGCTGCCTCTGCTGGGCGGTCTGCCCTTTGAGAAAGCCTGGGAGAATGCCGAGAACACCAAGAACAACAACTAGCTGGCAACACCGAAACGTGACAAAGCCAACGAGTGAAAATTGCACAAGCTGTGAACGTGTTCACGTAAGTTACATATATAAATATATATATATATAAATATATATATATATATATATATATATATATATATATATATATATATATATATATATATGTATATATTTATAGACAGAGAGAGAAAGAGAGATAGGTATTTGCAGCTACTAACCGCAGCAGGCATGCTGTGCCTCATGTTTGATGTCAAAATTCAATCTTTGACGTGAGGTTCATGCTAAAAATCATAACTTATCTATTTGGCAGCGCTACACGATGCTGTCATGTGGCGACACGTGTTGCCAAAGGGTTTCAATCTGCAACTAGCACAAGGTACTTCCTCTTCCTTACCAAAAAGCCAACTTCTTCAATTACCAATTAACCTTGATCGTTCAGGCAAAACCGATACAATAAAAATGAAATGAAATCATTTTGATGTACCCAAGATTAAATAACAATTATAAGCAATTCATTTTTGATTGCTGATTTCTGCGGCTGTTATAATTTTATTACCCACTTAAGGAGTGTGCGTATAATTGTGTGTGTGTTTTAAATATAGAAATAATTGTTAGGGAACAGTTGGTTTGAGAAGTCGAAGACTGCATGCACTTAATATAAAACATAATTACTTCAATTGTAAATTATTTGTGGGCAAATAAAAATATGACGAACTTTCATACTTTGGATAGTTTTTTATGACTTGAGGTGCGATTTATTTAGCTGACTCAATTAATGTGAATTAGCTTCAATAATGTTTATGATGTCTGAATACTAATGATCTGTGATATATGTTAAGGAAGCTTATCAAGTAAGACATATGATGATGATGCATAAAATTTTGGCATGAAATGTTAAGTATATGAGAAAAGTTTAATTATCGCTTAATGTATAAATAAAAAAGAATTATAAGAATTAATATACAAAAGAAAATATTCTCATATTATTTTAATTAACAAAAACTTAAGTTGCTTATATTTTTTTTGGTTCAATTTATTACAGTTACTCGGGAAATTATTATTTACAAAACATTATTACATATATAAACATAGCTAAATTCTAATAATATAAAATTTATTTTACTTGCTGGCGCCTAATAGAGTCCTAGGGGAGCGCTCTAAGTACTCTTGTAAAATCTATATATTTGCATTAATATTATTAACATTTTTATTATATTAAATTATTCTGCTTCGGAATATTATTTATTTTTCTAATAATAAATATCTGTTTACAATTAAATAAAATACAGCTTACACAATTAATTGTAGATCAGTTGAACGCCGCTCTTTATTTACAATACCTAAAATATCCCATTAACTTGGCTTTTCAAGATCAAAGACATAACTGACCTAACTACCATATGACAAGCTCTTTCAAATACTCAATAGACCCACTTCTGTTTGTGTTTGAGTAATGTTTAAGATACAATATAAATGGTATAAGATATTTATAGTTTTGGCTGCTTCGATTTCCGTGGCACTTAAGCTTTTTTTGGTATTGTGCATGACTGTCAAACTGTCATAACAACATAATACCCGTTAACAATAACAAAGTAACATACGCACACGCACTCACAGATCTGGTTCAGTCGCAGTCCCCAACTTGACCCATGTGCTCAAGGGCTATGAAATTTCTTAGAGCATCACTCCAAATGTTAGCTGGAGTGCATTTTGTGGTAGCTGCGATTACGAAAAGATTATTTAAAATGTAATTAGAGCAAATAGCATTTCACAAAAAAAAAAGAAAAAATAAAAAAATATATATATATAAATAAACGAAGGCAATATGATGAACATTTTCGATACAAAGCAACAAACTTGACATGAATTTACGCTTGGGCAACATTTGTTGCCCCCTAAAACAGAAACTTTGTCAGCGCAGCTCGAAAAGTTGCAGTTTCTCAAAATTCGATCGTTTGTCAAGTCCAAAGACGATGACGCTGCCAACTTGGCGGGGGAAAGACCTGAAAACTTGCCAACAACTTCAAGTGTACAATGCGAACGTCCCGTAATTAATAACGTGATGTACTTCAGGCTAAAACGGAAGCTCACAACAAAAAACCAAAAGCAGAGCAGCTGTGAGACAGCTTCAAAAGTAAAAAAAAATATCGTTAACAAATTTTCGGCTAAAATATGTTGCTGATGACATTTTGAAGCCAGCACTGGTGCAGTTGTTGGTGTTGTTGCTATTGATTATTGAATTGTTGCGATGCTGCACAAATTAACATTTAAAAGAACAGACAAAAATTCTGCCAGCGTTCGCCGCTTTGAAGCATTTAAAAATGTTTTCATACCCTGTAGAAAATGGGAAAGGTATAGACACAAATATATATTTCAATTATTAATAATAATTAAATTAATTTTATTGTTATTATTTATTAATCTCTTGGCGACAAAGCGACACATATAGCTTTGAATAACCCAGGACTTTAACCTTTTAACACATAGCTTAACAATAATAAATTACTAAGCTTAATTAAGCATCAGAAATGTAATAATTAAGATCAACAAAGTACAAATAGATCTTAAAATAGTATAAAAAGCTGGTTTCCTTCCTAATAGAGTACAGGGTTTATCGTGTACCTTCTATCAATTGTGGCTATGTCAACAATAGGTAGTCCAGGTTGCTGCAGTAGCAACACAATACCTTGGAGCCTTAGTGTAATATGGGTATAAGCACAGTCATTGCCAAATGAGGTCTTTGCATGATTATGCCAAATGACAAACACTTACTGGCTCATGGACAGAAGACTGTAGCTAAGCACTCTTTACAATGTACTCCTTTATAAGTCAATCATCATGAAGCTAAGGAATTCAACTAATGGGTATTGAGTCAATCACAACAATCTAAGTACTATTTAACATAGCTAATGCCATATTATACATGTATATAAAACACAAAAATGAATAAGGATTTTAGATACTGATTAACGAAATGATGACAAATGTTAAACTACCAAAGACTGGCAAGCCATAAATATATATTTAATAGAATCGAAAATCAACAAGATCTTATGGTATACCACGAAAGATATTCTTTAAGTTAGCTTTAATTAATTGGTATCTGTTAGTCGATTTTGTTAATTCCAATGAAAATGTTGCAGCATTTTCGATTTTCTGCGAATTTGTTTTTGCGCATTTCGTGCAACATTTAGGCGAATCACCTGTTGCCCGTTGTTGTTGTTGTCGCTGTCGCTGTTGTTGTTTTTGTTGTTTTGGGGGAATAGAATAGAAACCCCAAAGACATTCCACGTCGTTGCGGGCGCACCTATATTTTGTTGTTTTGTTTCTTGGCCAAAAATGAGTGAATTAGAATAGCAAACTATGTAATTGCCGCGTTTATTGCCGCCAGCGAGCGATTGTTGCTGTTGTCAGTTGCTGTTGTTGTTGTTGTGATGTCTGCTTTGCTGCTGCCGTGTTTGGTGTGAGAAGTGGTTGTTGTTGAAGCTGCAGTTGATGTTGCTGTTGAAGCCATCCAGATGCACCAGGTAATTTGCATATTTTTGTGAGGTGTGGGGATTACCTTTTAAAAATGGGTTAAATGTCTTTTGGCCACGCGGCTGTGCAAAGCAATCTGCAAAAATAGTTGCTTAGCTAACTTGAGACTTAGAAGAAGACAACAAAAATATTGATAAATTTTAATTCAGATATATTATTGGTAAGAATTAGCTATAAGTAAATAATAATAAATATAAAAAATAAGGAAAAAAATAAAAACTAATAAAGTGGTTGAAAGAAATGTTTACATATTTTTTTTTTTATTTTGGAAAAAATACTTTAAATAAATAGAAAAAAAGAAAACAATATTTTTCAAATTGTAATTTAATTTTAAGCAAATCAATAAATAATAAAGAAGAATTTTTAGGCCCTATAAGACGTACTCAAAAAGAATAGAGCAAAGGAAATGATAAGGTAATAATAATATGATACGTGATAGACTATATATAATGCACCTCCTATATATGCTATGAAGCCTGCTTGAAAAACACTCATTTACAGTTTAATTTAGTTAATTAAAATAGTTTTTCTTTACTTTGTATTGCGCAGAAACTTTTAACTATCATCATTATCTATGTTAAATATTAGAATTTTCTCTGTATTTCATTTCTCATTAAGTTGCTTTTCCTATC